AAATATGAGTAAGAAACCGAAGATTAAACATAATTTCATGTTCATTCAGACAGTGAAGAACAAAGGTCATTTGGTCCTCAGTTAATCCAGTGAGTGTAATTTGAAATCCCCATTCACTTGGTGACAAAGGATTTTGCCAGAGAATCTTAAATACAGTAAGTTCAAACAACTTTTTAATAACAAACATAAATTTTCTTCTATAATTATCTTTTTAAATCAGCACTACAAAAATACTAAAATTAATGCATACCAAAAAAAGTTTTAGATAATGATTTATGTTATTAAGCAAATGACTGAAATTATCAGAAAAACATCAGGTACTTGGAGTTCTTGGTAAAGTGTATGGGATCGCTGCGCGGGGCATAGCAGACATGACTGTTTTACTCCGTTGTAAGATTAGCAACCAATGAAGATATCATAACTTTTTAAATCTTCAATGTAGTATTTTTCATTAAAGAAATTTTAATAGAAGAAAGAGATAAACTACTTATGTTCCTATGGTACTAGACACTTCAATATTGTACTCTACTGATATCACAGACTTGATTTTTTTAATCAAATGCAAAATAAAATACATTTCCTCAATTCTCTGCCATTGAAAGAATTCGGATAGTGTATGAATCAGGGCTCTCTAGAGAAATAAAATCAACAGATGGATATGTGGAAAGATTTATTTTAAATAATTGGCTCACACAATTGTGAAGACGTCTAAGTCCAAAATCTATGGGATAGGCCAACAGTCTAGAGACTTCAGTGAGAATTAATGTAACAGTTCAACTCCAAAAGCAATATGCTGATGAAATTTCTTCTTCTTTGGGGCAGGGCAATTTTTTTTTTCTTAAGACCTTCAGTGATTTGCTGAGGCTCACTCTTATTATGTAGAGTAATCTGCTTCTCTCAAACTCCACTGATGTAAATGTTAATCTCCTCTAAGAAATACCTTCATAGTAACATTTAGATCTATTTGACCAAACATCTGGGTACTGTGGTCAAACCTAATTAATACATAAAATTAGCTATCACATATTCTGAAAGGATCTCATAAAATGCAATATATGAAACTATGCAACATATGCAATATAGGAAAATATTGCAGGAAATAATCCCAGTTTTAAAAAAAAAATCTTTACACTGAACATAACAGGATTAACTTTGTAGCATATGCAAATGTGCTTCTGCAAATAAAACAGCTTTTTATGGATAGCCTAGATTAAATACCAAGAGAAAATAACTGGTGAAATTTCATATTTCACATTGCTCTGGGATTTCAACACAGAGCTGGGTTTTCATCTACTGAATTAGAAAACATAGAAGTCCACCATTTACCATTTCTAAACTTGCTAAGACGTTTTAAAGGTTGTCTATACCGATATTTTTTCAAATGTTTTTCATTTGGAACTGAATTCTTCTTATATTTGCATCTCAAGGGGAGAAATACTGATTACATTAAAATATCATAAAACCTTCTTATTTCTATTGAACACGGAATCTGTCTTTTGTTCTAGTACTGTATTTCAAGAACTGAATGACTCTCAAGCTAAAATCAGCTGTCCCACATCCACAAAACTCAAATGGAATCCTAAACAGTTTTAATGATGTTTGCCAGTTATAACAGGATTTTTTTTATATATAGTCTCCACATATTTATTCTTTAAAAGGAAATAGTTTGGAAAAATTTACCCAGTGACTCTTTTTATCCTGCCAATTGCCTAACTGACTATAACTATGCTCTATTAGTTCGGTACATAATGTGCTAAATTTTCAGGCCAGTCAATAGAGAAATGGACAGGCCCCTATTGTATGTGGTGATGCCAGAGGGAAATACATCACCAACTTTCCAGTTTCCCAAGGATGGGAAAGCTGTTTTATTTCTCCCCGCCATACTGCTGTGAGCTGCTATGAGGCAGACATATTTACAGGTATTTGCTCAAGCCAAAGCCGTTCTGCCTTCTTGCCTTGTTGTCCCACAGAATGAAATTTTTTGGAATGAGTGGAATTTTTTTCATCCACCACCACCTTGAACTTTGTGTGAATTCTCACTGACTTACACTGATCTTCACCCCCCATCTTTAAGATTTTTGTTTTTATTTTCTTTTTAAGATATTTCTAACAATTTTTTCATTTAATATCCAATTTTTCTTGTGTTATTCTCCAATCCTTTTCTCAATTCTTAATCCCTTTTACTTTTTTACATTCTAAACATATATTATAGGTTTCAGTCCTTTTTTTCTCTTTTATTGTTACACTCAATATTTGATTCTTTACATCTCTATTTTAAATTAGCTATTTTGTCTGTAATTTTTGCTCCCAGTCTTTCGCCTTTAAAATGAGAATTAATCATCATACGCAGTTTTCCCTAATTTTTTCCTGTGTCTGAACTCGCTTTTTTGTGATCATCTCATAACACTTTACAGTATCAAATAAGACACCTCTGTGAAAGAAAGCCTCATTCAAAGCGGTGAGCAAAATAGAGGATTAGGGATAAGATCTATTAACTCACATCAGCTTGGAGGCTTAGTTTCAAAGACAGTTAAAGTTTCAAAGACTTCCTCAGGGGCCGGTTTTCTCGTTTCCTCTGTATTTCTGCAGTTTACACAGGCCGGGCTAGCGCCACCTACAGATTAACAAGAGAATCGCCACAGTTTCCCCTGATAGCATCTTCATTCCAGCCCCTCAGAAAACAGGCACCTCTCCCTCTCAGTCAGGCCTACCCAAGGCCAGGGATTCGGCATCGCTGCTCTGATAGAATCTGTTTTGGAGCCTATAGCGCTCACTGTGGGCAGGGAATTCACTGACTCACACCTGCTCCAAGTGTCTCCTCTCGGAGCTCAGCTTGGCTCAGCCTATCAGAGGACCTTGATGAGGAGGAAGAGTTCCCAAGATGGGAGAAAGAATGGTGCGTTGGCAAAAGATAACCAACACCTACCACTTCTCACCTTCGTCGTTTCAGATTGTTTTCAACATGATCAGCAGAGCGCCTGTCCTGGTCAGATCACACCAGGCCAGGCTGGAGGCTTTGTCTCGGCCTCTTTCTCAGCTGCCTCTTCTCCAGGCCCCCACAGTGGGTGCTCTACCCTTCCCACGGATGATTCTCCAAAAACAAGTATGTAGTCTCCAGAACCGTAATGTTCAACAGGAACCTAAAGTGTCAGCTTTTATGCAACAGAGCAGCGTCTTGACATCGCATACCACCCAGGTTTTAAATCGACAAACGCCAAGCTTCCGTTGTACAATTCAGTGAAAGCGGAACGGGCATGAGCCCAGAGGGGCGGACACACAGATGAGCTCCCCCTTGGGGAGACAGCCCCACTGCAACGCCACCAGCCGGGCCTCACACCCAGCAGCTTGCATGGATAACAGACATCAGGACGAAGCCAACAGTGACGATTTTTAGAACCAGTAGGCTCCTTGGAGTGCATTTCTCAATGGCAAAGACTACTCCCAAAAGAGGGCAGAGACTGTTTATAGTACCGTTTCATAATTTCTCCCTCTCATCCTTTTAATACCATGGCCCCAGGACAGTGGCAGGTGTTAGCATGGATGCATCCAGCCCTCTGCCACCGTTGCCTCCCCCTCCTTCAGAGCGCCGCTCTCCAAGGCTAATTCACTTCTGCCAAGATGGTAGGGTTATTCCCCCACCACCCGCCTCAAGTCTCTGTGCACACAAAACCACTTTGTGATGATTTCACAACTTTTATTTACTAGATACACCCAAGAATGAAATTAATCATGTATGGAAGAATGAATTAAAACTTTGAGGACCTCTCTCTTTTCTTGCTATTTCTCTGGAATCCTTTCCTGGTGTTTTGGAGTGATTCGTATGGCTTAAACATATGTGTGAGGAATCATGTCAGATATCTCTGACCAAACTGTTTCGCAATTGTGTCTGACCCAGTACCTTCCCCAATTGTATGAATCCCAAACTCCGTGGTTCAGCACTGAGCCAAAAACATGCCACATCTACATGACATGGAAGAGTTTAACCTTGAAATACAGCATACCAAATGGAAGCCCATTCCTTGCCAAAAACGTTGCAGGCATCTGTCACAACATTTATCTTCCTCCAAGCGATAGCAACAGTGGTTCTCAATAGTTTCTTACATTGTAGCTCTGGCATAAGTCTCTCCTACCCCATCTCCCTCCAAATTTACACAATAGATTTCCATCTCAAGCGCAGGAGGTCCTGCCTCCCTTCCATTACGGGTTTCCCTGGATCTCCTTACTACGATTATTTCCACCATGTAACTTTGAGGACTATTTCATAACACAGTCCTCTGTGCTAGTATCATACTGTTTTAATTATTATATAGTAGCTTTAAACTATATGAAGTTTTTTTTTAAGTAATACCTCAGTGTGGTAGATTGCTTCACACTTAAATTCGAAAGGGTATAGAGTGAAAAGTACATTTTCTTCCCAACTTGATATGCTTCTGTAACTCTTAAAAGTAGTTTATTTTTTATTTTTTGAGATTTGTTTCTTTATTGAAAAAAGAGACCCAGTTTGTTGAGAAGGACCAACTCTTAACTTAGTGAACCTTAAATTGACATAACTTGATTTTGTCAGTCACCACACTTAACTGAGCTCTGAAGAATCTCCCGTCTTCTCCAGTATGACTTCTTGGGCTGAGCATATAATTTCACTGGAAATTTCAGTCAAACTCACTTTGATATGATTTAAAAGTCCTACCTCATATCCAATTTAAATCTCATCCCCTCTCTTCTTCCCAGGGCAGAGTTGTGACTGACTCTTAGCACCTGGAGTTAGGAGGAGCCTCCTCTCCTACATTGGACAGACGAAGGAGACTGTCCTGTGCCTTTTGTGGCTCAAGCATTTCAGCTTAGGAGTTTAGGGGGAGGAGGAGGAGGAGGAGAGGCAAGATGCTCTGACCTCACAACTTGAGAGGCTCCCCTTGATTTGTACGGCTCCATCCAGTTCCACCCGCTACCGGTAGGTGGAGTACCGCTGACCTGCTCTTCAACATCAGCCTTTAGAACTGTTAACGAGCAACTGTTTGATCAACCTGGCATGCCTGTATCTGGTCGTCTGTGCAACCACTTTGAAGATGACATTAGGTAATAAAACAACCATTGTTACTATCCTGTCACCGTGTTTTGAAATTCTGTATCATTTTTATTGCTCTCCATGCTGTTTTTGTTATTTTGGGTTTTGTTTACTGAAAAACAAAATGTATACGTATGTACAAGGTTAGCTGGAATAGGTGTATTGCTGATGTCTGTGGTTTATGGAAAGGAACAGTCGGTGCTTAAAATTTTCTTTTTTCTTGACCAATTTTGCACACTCGAATTTGGTAATCAGAATGACTGATCTGAAAACAATATGCAGTATAGGAACCATTGCTGAACTCCTACCATCTTGGATGGTGAAGCTCTGCATCATTTCCATTTTTTTTTTTATAGCTTGTTACTGTCTTTGATTGTTGGATCAATCCTACATTCTTACGTCTGGTGGACCGAGCAACTTCATTGAAGATAACAGTGTGTCATGTAGCAGCCACTGTTAATTCCTGTCATTTCGTTTTGAGGCCATGTATCATTTTTTTGTTGTTTTGTGTTGTTTTGATTTTGTCTTCACTGTTGTTTTGTCAGTTTTTTTCAATGTTTAAAATAAAAATAAATAAATAAAAAGAATTTTTAAAAAACATCAGCCTTTAGAGTCTGGGTAGTGGAACACAAATCACCTTTTACTTCTGATTTCAGACTTTGGCCAGCCCCTGGTTTTCAGGGCTGTGGATGTAGCTCGGTGGTACAGCACTTGCCTAGAATGCTTGAAGCCTTGAATTCAACCCCCAGCACAGCAGCAACAAAAACGTGAGGTGGCCTCAAGTTATACTTCATCTCTACTGAAAGGAAGGTCTGCCCACGAACGGACGGTTTTCTTGTAATAGTGCTCAGCTTCCTCACGGCTTCCTATAGAAGAAACACCTCAGAACGTGGCAGCTATAGCTACCATCTGCCTCACTAAAAGACCTGCTAGGAGCTGAATTGTGTCCTCCTAAAATTCATGGATTGAAGCCATGAGCCCCAAGATCTCAGCCTGTGATCCCATTTAGAGGTAGGACTTTCAGGAAGAGAGTAAGTTCAAATGAATTGTTGGCTTGAAACCTAACTCAGTCTGGCTGGTGTCCTTTTTTTTTTTTTTTGGTTTTTTTCCAGTACTAGGATTCGAACTCAGCCTTGCGCTTGCCAGGCAGGTGCTGTGCCGCTGAGCTAAATCCCCAGCCCCTGGCTGATGTCCTTTTAAAAGAGGGAATTTAGACAAACAAGAAGGCTTGAGGCCTGCTTGCACACAGAAAAGACCGCAGGAAGACACAGCAAGGAAGCAGTAGTCAGCCAGCCCAGGAGAAAGGCCCCAGAGAAATTAAACTTGCTGACACCTTGACCTTGGACTTCTGGGAAGAAATAAATCCCTGCTTAAAATGTCTCTCTGTAGCAGTTTATTATGGCAGCCCTAGCAAACTAATGCAGTCCTCAACTCCTACACCCCCACTGCAGCTAGCAGCTGCCTGGACAACTTCAAGGCCTGTCTTCCAGCTATCTCCCTCCTGTCGCCTGGACATGAAGACTCAAAGCCGGGTGTGGTGACACACATCTGCAATCCCAGCACTTGGAGGCTGAGGCAGGAGGATCACCACAAGTTCAAAGCCAGCCTGAGCTATGTAACAAGACTTTGTTTCAAAAAAAAATGAATGCCCAGTATCCCGAAAATTAAGAAAGGTGGTCAGTCATTTCAGAAGTGTCACACAGAGGGGGAAGGAGGACAGATGGAAGAGAAGGAAGGAATTAAAAGAGGAAAGAAGGAAGTCCAAAGATAAAGAAGGAAAGGAAAGAGAGGGGGAATATCCCAAACTCCAGCCAAAGTCTCAAATGTGCACAGTAGTATGAAGCAAGATTTTTTTTATTTTTTTTCCTTAAATGATACGTGTTCATAGCTTGCCAAGCTGTGATACCTATTTTTACCCTAGAATAAGCCTTGGAGTCATGTGAGACTTCCTTTCCCAAAGTTGTGCTATTTAGATTTCTATCAGACCCAAAATTTTATTTTTTGGAGTGGGAGAGGTGTCAGGAATTGAACTCAGGACCTTGTGCTTGCCATGCAGGAGCTTGCAGGGCTATATCCCTGGCCTTGAACCAAAGTTTTAGTTTCTGGTTCACCAAAAGAGGAGGGAAATTAGCAACTGTGTTGGCCAAACCAAAAAAAAAAAAAAAATCTCCCCACACAATCTGCTCCCAAGGCCTGGGTAGGATAAGCCAAGAAGCTGAGGTGCAGAACATAAGGCGGCACTCACCCTTGGGTCCGTCCTGCATCAGAGCTGGCCGGGCCTGGGCAATCCCTTGAGGTGACATCCCAGCCGCCTCACAACCCGCCACCAGCTCCCAGGCAAGTGCTCCCAGACCTGGCGGTGACCTAATGCTCCGTCTCCCACTTCCAGCAACACAGCCAAAGTTGCTCCTTACCCTCCCGCCTCTGCAGCCAATTTGTTCTCATTCTAACCCAAACTGTACTCTCACCTCCCTCCCCCAGGCCTCTTCTGTCCGCAGGCCTCTATGGCTGAGTCCTAAACAGGCCGCCGAGAATTTTATAGTTCAAGTGTTTTTTTAACTACTTCTGAAAAAAATCAGGCCAAAAAAATTTTTTTTTTCCTTTTCACTCTGTGAAACTATGTGACCACATTTAGGGACACCACGCCTTATAAACAAACCACCCAAAGTTCTATTCAGACAGATTTGTACCGAAGGATGAGACGAAGCCTAACAAGATGGGCGTTACCCATCGGATTATTAGTTTAGATCCGGACAAGGGTCTTCTAGCGGGGGCTGTGCGGCTGCAAAGGTCTCTGCAGTGGTCGCTCTTTGATCGCCCAGAGCCACCTACTCTCGCCGCCACTCTCCTCCGTCCCTTCAGGAAAGAGGTGTAAGGCCAGGCGTGGTGGCGCACGCCTGTAATCTCAGCACTTGGGAGGCTGAGGCAGGAGGATCTTTGTGAGTTCGAGACCCACCTGGGGTACAAAGTGAGCTCCAGGACAGCCTGAACTGCATAGTGAGACCCTGTCTCAAAAAGACAAAAAAAAAAGGAAACAGGTGTAAAAAACACCATCCCATGTGCCAGGATTGCAAGATGACCCTGGAATGGACAAAACACAAGGCCCACTGCGGATCTGCAGGCCTCTCGGTGGCGGGTGGGCGGAGCTGCCCCCTGGTTCAAGCATCTTTCTCCTCTATCCCGACCCAATCAGCACAGCGGCTCTAGGCCCTGTCCACACTCCTTCCATAAACAGCCTCTGCATTCCTGTGGCACCATTTTGCACCGGAAACTGAGGACCAGAAAAGTTACATGACTTTTCTTTTTTTCTCTTTTTTTTTTTTTTTTTGTCTTTTGAGACAGGGTCTCGCTATGCAGTTCAGGCTGGGCTTTAGCTTTAGCTCACTTTGTAGCCCAGGCTGGTCTCAAGTTCACAACAATTCTCCTGCCTCAGCCTCCAGAGTGCTGGGATTATAGGTGTGTGCCACCACGCCCGGCTACGTGACTTTTCTGAGGACACTCAGGAAAATTTGAAATTAAAATTGAAAACCATGTCTTCTGGTGCTATGGGTGTAAAAGAAATGTAAGGAGTGCCCGTTTCACTGTTGATTTGTCACAGATGGCTTCGGGCTGGGGATTCAGCTCAGCAGCACAGCGCCTGCTTGGCAAGCACAAGGTTGTGAGTTCAATTCCCACTACCAGAAAAAAAAAAAGTGGTCAGGAGTGCCCATGTACAGTGAGAAGGAAAGGCAGGTGTACAGCATACTAAAAAGTGAACTCTCCATCCAAAGAAATTCAAAATGTAAAAAATGGGGAACATTCTGCTGAGCAGACAGGATCCTTCTGCAGCCTAGATTCGGGGGCACCAGCTTTCAATCCGTGTCAGTCCCTGCTCCAATCTGTAGGCATTACTTCTTCAATACTGATTCAAAGTCACATCTATTTTCCTATTAGTTTTCTTTACTGATCACCACTCCTTTGCATCCTTTTGATTTCATGCAAGTTTGTACAATATTATCTGTCTTTTGTGTACTTTTTTATGTACCTCAGTTAAAGGCAAGAAGAGTTTATGTATGTTTTATAACTCAACTTTACATCAGTTCCCCACCTCAGATTTAGTTCCCTGGACCTTTAAGGCTCTACGGAGAACAAGTCTTATAAAAGGACCCTTGGCTGATAAAAGTTCTGTTCCTATGGGTGGAGATTTGTGTCACTGGCATCTTTGGAAACTCTTAACAATAGGGCAGAAGTTAATTTTCTGCATCCCCATCGTTTGGAGGAAAGAGAAACATTCTGTTGTTAATTTGCACGGATACAAATAAACCATATGGCTTTCTGAACGACTGAGTCACTGAGACACCCATTTCTCACTTCTGACGCCCAGAAAGCTATCAACACAGGAAATGAACCTCCACGGCTTGAGTCCTTCTGTCCTCTGCTGCCCTCTACTGGACAGAAGGGATATAGCAGACAGAGTGGTCCCAAATCCCAACCCCCTCAAGCAGTCGGTAAGCAGTCACAGGGAAATTCATTCCTGTCTCTGGAGGGGCTTGCAGCATTGGAGTGATACGATAAAATCACAACAAATTACACAGGAATCAAAGTACAGGTTTTCTATTATAAGCAAAGTTTATTTGGAAGTAAAACATGCAGGGAGATGAACATTAAAAAAAAATTAAAAAGCAAGGCTGGGACGTAACCAAGGTGTGATCTTTACATCAAGTGGTTAAAAAGTGGCTAATGTTTTTTCTCTATTATAAAATTAGATAAACTTCACTGTACGCTTTTTATTACATAGGTATTTAGAAGTGCAGGAGAGAAAATATAAATTAAACCATCCTCCCTTAAGGACTAGCGCAGGCCGTGTTGTCCGTGTACCATTCCAGGCCTTAGTGCATATGTAAACATATGATTTTACTTTAACAAATATAGGATCGCGGTCTGCACCCTGATACACCATCTGCTTCTCTGCAGCAGTGCTCTGGGGCCCTACGGGATACCTGTCCTCCGAAGTCAGGCCTCCCCTGCCTGTTTAAGCACTCAGAGGGTGGCCCCAGTGAATGTGCTAGGACAGGCCAGGTTACCTGCATTTCTCCAGGGTGGGGGGTGCCGTCTCATCTGACTTTTCCAGCTGGCTAAACAAGAGCCCAGTCATAGCATGTCATTGGATTTCCCATGTTTCAGTTCAAATAATCATTCTGAGCGTACGGAAAATACATTATAACCAATACTATCTTATGCAGCTGTTTTCACCTTGAAGTCCTTTAACTGTTTAACATCCCCTGCAGCGCCACCTCACAGATTTGTGGAGGTGACATGCTGTTCCTGCTTTAATAAATATGTTTATTTACATCTATATGTTTTCACCCCCCAAAAAAAATTAAGAGAGATATTTAGCTGTCTTGAGAGAAAATTTCAAACCTAAGCGATCTGCGGTTATCTTAGAAATACAACACGATCGGAAATACAACACACGTGGTCTGTCCCCTCGCTATAAACACAAGAATCAAACAGTGACCGCTCCAGGGAAGGCCCCGGTGGTAGGAAGGAAAGCGGCCTGCTCAGATCTAATGTTCCAGCACAACTGAGAACTCTAGGACGGTACTTAAGTGAAATGGGGACGTATTGTTTCCTTATAATGATTTTAAACGGAAATTACTATCCAATCACAAATAAAAGTAAAAGGTGGACAGCGAGGCCGACAAATGTTTCCCTCAGATTCACGGTGATTATCAAGTTAGCAGCTACTCGGTCACCAGGAACGATTCCCACTCCTTGGTCTCCCTAACCACCCCGAGCTGCAGCTCCGTGGTGACTGAATGGCGGCGGCTCATCAGAGGATGTGCTTTATCCGCGCGCTCAGCTCCAGGTTCCGGTTTGGTTGTGGGCAAGGCAGAGGGAGAGATGGCAGAGGGGGGAGAGCGAGTGCTACATTTGTTTGCTAAGGCGGAGCCTGCACAGCTGGATTCCTGACGGTCGGCACAGGCTGCCCTCCTGATGGCCTTGAGCTCTGCTCCACGCACCACCACGCTCCTGCCTCAGGGCCCTTGCTCCGCCGACCCCTGCGCTCAGACACCCTGCCCACCTGACTCTACAAAGTTTAGAGGGTCTGAGTTCAAATGTCCCCTCCTCAAAGGCATTAACTTTCCCCAACTGACCCTTTTCAAATAGCACCACCTGTCACTCTGCTGCTCGCTGCACTTTACTTTTTTTTCTCAGACCTCTATCACTACCTCACATGACAGCAGGGACCTACTGTACACGTCCTTGTTAAATAACCCAGTACTGCGTGGGAGATTCTGCTGGGGAGGTCCCGTGCGGGTCTCACAGATGCAATGTTAAAAAGCTCTGCAGGTGATTCCACTGCACTCTCTGGCTAGGAACCACTAGTTTGATGGATATTATAATGTCTGGAGCCAGAAGGATTAAAATTCCAGCGTGGCGGGTATGGGAGAGTAGAGCGCTGGGCGCAGGCAGTAACAGCAGTAATAACGCTGCTGTATCTCCAGGGTGACGCTGAACTTAACAGGATGCAAGGCATTCGAGACGACGTTTGAACTGGAAGTGTTTAGCAAGCACAAGGTCCTGAGTTCGATTCCCGGCACAAAAATAAATAAATAAAAGAATCATGAACTGGAAATGCTATTTTAAAAAATCTTTGTTATGTTTGCCCTATTGCTTTTCTGAAAATTAACTCATATTTTGGAGAAAATAAAACAACTTGAAACAGCACTAGCATTTGTTTTTCATGAGAACGCCAGTCTCTCGGAATCAGGTTGCTCAGATTGGTTGTTTTTCCGCCAACACAAAACGGTGCCTCCATCTTTACCCACAGAAATAGTTCCAAAGGAAAAGGAGCAGAATTTCGCCAGTGCTTGCGGTCCACCCAAGTAACGCCACATTCTGATATTCCGAATATTTCAAGTAGAGAGTTTGCCCGCACTGCCCCGGAGCTGGACGTGGGATTGTGGGTGAGCAGGCCACACCCACGCACCCACCCACCCGGTCCCCGCGCCCCTCCCCTGAGGCGCAGAGGGCTGCTGCGGACGGGCAGGAGCCCGCGGGGGTGTTGGGCAGGTGGAGGCCGGGGAAGGGCGGCCAGGAAAGACCGGGGGAGACCGCGACTAGGGCGGCAGCAAGCGGAAAGGGGGCGAGCCCGCTGCGATCTCCGAAGGCGCGGGGTCCTTTTCCATCAAAAGCAAATGGTAACTTGGGGAGGGTCCTGCCCCAGCCGGCCAGCCTGCGTCACTAACGTGGCTCTGGGATAGGGACTGGTGCTCGGGAGAACTGATCATCTAGAGCCGCTTTGCAGGACGCAGACCACTGGGAAAGGGCAGAGGACGCGCAGGTGAGGACGCGTGCCCGGCTTGTTTACGTCACCAAGGTAACGTTTATAAACACCGCTAGCCCTGTTTCACTGGATCAATAGTGACACCTAGTGGAGAAGTGTAGCTAAACTCTTTTCTGTGCAAAAAATATACATTGTATGCATAAAACACGGTGACTCTGCCATACGTATAACTAAAGGGGCATTCAACCATGTCCTTAAAATTGGACTCAAAATCCTGTGACTTCAACCTCTATAAAAAAAAAAAGTAGACAGGCAAACCAGGATTCGTTTTAAAATAAGCCAGAAATGGGCCAGCAGTAGGGGCGCACGCCTGTAATCCCAACACTCGGGAGGCTGAGGCAGGAGGCTCATTGCGAGTTCGAGACCAGCCTGGGCTACAAAGTGAGCTCAAGGCCAGCCTGAACTGCATATCGAGACCCTGTCTCAAAAGACCAAAAAAAAAAAAAAAAAAAAAAAAAAAACCAGAAAACATGTAGGCGTGTGAAGAAACTGCTGAGAAAAGAAAATCCAGTGAAATAAGACAAAAGTTTGCCCTCGGGCTCCTTTAGCCTGGTGAAATTTTCTAGGAGGCTGGGGAAACAGTTCGATTTTAACTAGGAATCTTTGGGCAGGAGTTTGGGGGTTGCAGTCCCTTTTGGATTCGAAGCAGGTGGAAAAAGGTGGCTCGACCCACCGCAAGCCCTGCTCACCGGTGCAGGCCCTGCGCCTCCTGGAGAGAGCCGCGTAGGAACACGCAGGGGAGGGCGCGTGCTGTTCGTGCTGAGCGCGCGTCTCTGACGTTCTGCAGCCCACCGAGCCCAGCGCACACGGCGCAGGCCTGCTTGCGTGTCACTGTAGGCTTCTAACTGCAGACACGAGCACTGCACTTGCTGACCATACAACGGGGGCGTCCAGCTTGACACCTGGTAGGGGAGCCACAAGATAGAGCCAGTTAAACGGCCCCCCCAGGAATATCAAGATGTTTCCTTGCTGGAACGATGGAGAGCTGCTGTTGCTGCTTTATATTTTCATGAAGAATTCATTCTGCTCACTAAATGTCCTCTGACATAATAGTTGGTGTTTTTCTAGGAACAACCCCACGCCGTGGTTCGGCAGGAGGATATTACCAGCCCCTCGGTACAGTCACCCAGGGTCCCTGACCTGAGCGGCTTCCTGCTAATCTTCTTCCCTGCCTGGCACGACGGCAGCGTTTGGTCGCTTGTCTCCTCCTGGGGCACACGCCTCTCGATCGCCTTCTCACAGGACACCCGGAGGCCCCCAACCCGGGGCTTCCATCCCAGGTCTTCCTGCCCTGGCCTCGCTTCCAGCTGCCTCACAACGATTCCTCGGAAACTCCCTGAGCGAACATCAATTCACCGTGCAACTGCTCCCGCTCAGGCGTCTCGGTTCTGCTGGAAACATGTGCTTTATTACTCCTCGGCCTGCCCGTCCCACACCGCGGGTTCGCGCTGGCAGCCCTGTTGAGCCCAGTGGCATGATTCACTCCCGTTTGTTTAATTAGTTAAATCAAATTAAAATGTGTTCGAGGCTGGGCTAGAGTGTGTTCAGTTGTGTGTATTTCAATTTACACCCATGCACCCAGCGCTGAGACCCAGAGGCACAGTTTAAAAATTAAAAGTTTTCCAAGCCATGCTGACAACAGTCACCAATAGTTAACAAACTTCACAGCAAGCAAATGCTTAAACTAAGTTTAATTACCAAGGGCTATTGATCCTCCAGCCCCAGGGAGGTATCACTCCCTTCTTCAAAGCTGCCCGAAGTAGCTGCACAGAATCCCCGGGTAAGTTTCAGCGCAGTCCTGGGCTGCCTCGCAGCGTTTCTGAACTCTCCAAGCAAGCACCTGGAAGTTCTGAATTCCACATGCTCTCTGCCAGCCTGCTTAGGGCTCCAGTCGGTGTCTGGAAGCCCTCCTCGGCGATTTCAGAAAGGTCCGATAAAGCAGCTCCTGCCTGTGTTTCCCAGACCAAAGCCATGTGTATCATCTTGATTTCTGCTATGTTCAGAGTCCATTCCCAGATGGCCCTCGAGTGGTAACCTGGTTTTTAGAGAAGCGGACTAAACCAACATCTGTGGTTTGGTTCTGCAGCCAAAGATCCCCGTGCTCAGCCTGGTGTAGAGGAAAGAAGTTAACTGCTTAGGAATGGTAGGAAGCTCCTCTGACCCCTTGCAATCCTTGCTAGTTTTATAAATCCAGAAGCGCCTCTTCTAGGACAACTGGGATGGAGTGTCCAGCTAGTTCTAGTGGGTGGGAGGGGCTCATTTATCTTAGAATTGTTATAGTCCATGGACTGACCCCAACAGAGGCATACCTTTGGAGTCTCCCTCAGGGGAGTTGTGAGGACTTCTTGTGGGATTTGGACTTTCTGTGGATAATTTTAAAGAAAAATTTGGGATTTGTGGATCAAATCTCTCATTCATCCCATTTAGGGATGAATGACTAAATTTTTATCTAGCAAGAAAAAGTGACAGTTGTCACTCATTTTTTAAAAAAAAGACAAGAGCGGTTACTTGTATTAGAAGAGGATGTTTAAACATTTCTGTGGTTATAGAGTGGCTTTATCTTTATTGTGTCCTAAACCTAATTGCAAGGTGGCCTTGTCTGAGCACCATTTATGTTCTATGAGCATTATTAATATTCCCTTGGGAATTTTACCATCCAGCCGCCAAAAACACCAATTTTACCTTCCTAAACAGATAAGGAATGTTTCCTCTCTTAGACCAAAGTAATATCCATCACACATGAATGTGTTTTATAAACATAGGATTATACCATATACGTAGGCTATCAGATCACCTACTTTACATAATGATATATCTTCAACAAATTCCCATCGCCATCACATTAAACTGACGAATGGAGTTTCATTGTAAGCAGGAGTCAAAATATATTTAACTAGATCCCTACTACACAGCATTTAGAATGTTTTCTTGTGTGTGTGGGTGTGTGTATGTGTGTCCATTTGCTAGGGCTGCCATAACAAAGCACTGCAAATTTCATGGCTTAAGTGTCAGAAATTTACTAGGTTACAATTCTAGAGCTTAGAAGTCCCAGGTCAAAACAAGATCTCAGCAGGTTGATTACATTTTGGGGCCTTCCTCCTTGCCTTGTGGGGGGCCGTCTTCCTCCACTGTCTTTTCTCCAAGTTTATCTAAATTCTAATTGCCTCTTCTTATAAGGACACTGTCACACTGGGTTAGGGCTCACCCATATGTACTCATTTTAATTTCTTCTTGGAAGGCCCGGCCTCCACATAGTCTATCCTGCAGTTCTAAGAGTTGAGATTTCAACCTCTGAAGTGTGAGGGTCACAGTTCATCCCATAAAAGTGGGGAGTGCATTCACACACACACACGTGTGTGCTCTTATAGCCAATGCTGTAATGGCTGCATGTGTATCTGCAGTTTGGGGTACATCCTTTGTTACTTCCTAAGGATGAATTTATAGAGGTGAGTCTGCTAAGCCAAAGTGATGGCATAGCTTTAATAAGCCTTTTGGTAATATATTCAGACCTCATATCCATGGTTCCACATGTATAGATTCAAATTACCTTTATGGAAAAATATTCAGAAAAAAAAAACTGTATCTCTAGTAAATATCTAGTAAAAAATATTTTCCTTGTCATTATTCCCTGAACAATATGGTATAACAACAGCATTTACATACCATTTTTAATTACATTAGATACTGCAAGCAAGCTAGAGATGACGTAGCGTGTATGAAATGATGTATGTAGTGTAGTTATAAGCAAATTCGGTGCCATTTCATATAAAGGGCTTAAGCATCTGCAGATTTTGGTGGGTCCTGGAACCGGTCACCCAGGGTAGCACGGGACAGCTGCACCACTAACCTGCCCTTAAAATTTACCCCCATGTGCACTTCTACTAAGCAGCAGATGAAAATGACCTTGGCCTTCTTTCTTCTATTATGCTTTGTAATTTTGCAATTATCTGCTTTTACTGTCATCGTATTTGGAAAATTGTCTACATCCACATATGTTCACATGGTTCCAACATGTTAGGGAGATTAAGGCTATAAATGTAAGGGCTTCAGGAGGTGAGAGTTTTCATGAGCGGTTAAGTGAGTCAAAGGACCCTGTCCTAGTGATGGTAGATCAGGACTGTCCCTTCCTTCCATGGGAAACAGCACAAAGTTAAGGTTTTCCATTGACAGAAATGGTTCCTTTTATCTCAAGTATTTAATGTTCTAGTTTGCTCCCAGACATCTCAAACACTTGTTGTCTCTTTTAATACTGTCTGATTCCATGAGAAATCTTTTGGTCACAAGTCACAGAAAATTTAAATGTAAATGACAATAGCAAAAGAAAGAAAAAAGAAGGTGTGTTGGCTACTTTTCTCTCGTTGCTGAGTCAAAATACCCCACGCCCAAAATGAAGGAAGGAAAGGTTTATTTAGCTTACAGTTTGTGGGGGTTTCAGTCCGTACTTGGCTGGCTCTGAGGCAGAAGATAACAAAGCAACAAGAGCAAAGGGGGGAATGGCAGTGCGTGCTAGCCTCTTTCCTTCCCTTATATTGTAAGAAGGCTGCCCCCACCCAGGGGGCGGCACTCACATAGTTCACCTTCTAAACTTCTCACACTGACACAATGAACAACATCCTAGAGCAGGAAGGGCATGTCCTTTGCACCCCAGGATGTAGAACTGCTGAGTCATTTAACCAAATCTCTAGACTCCCCAAGTTGACACAATGTATCAACCATAACAGAAGGAAAGAAAGAAAGAAGGAAGGAAGGAAGGAAGAGAAAGAAAGAAGGAAAGAAAGAAGAGAGGAGGGGAAGAAAGAAGGAAGGAAGAGAAAGAAGGAAAGAAGGAAGGGAAGAAAGAAAGAAAGAAAGAAAGAAAGAAAAAAAGAAAAAGAAAAAAGAAAGAAAGGAGGGAGGGAGGGAGGAAGGGAGGTAGAGAAGAAAGGAAGGAATGAAGGAAGGGAGGGAGGAAGAAAGGGAGGAAAGAAAAAAGAAAGGAAGGAAGGAAGAGAAAGAAGGGAGGAAGGAAGGAAGGAAGAGAAACAAAGAAGGAAAGAAGGAAGGGAAGAAAGAAAGAAAGAAAAGAGAAAGAAGAAAAAAAGAAAAAGAAAAAAGAAAGAAAAGAGGAAGGGAAGAAGGAAGGAAGGAAGGAAGGAAGGAGGGAACGGTTAACTCAGGTCACTGACAGCCCTGTGAGACAGTGTGGTCCAGGTAAGACCTCACCCTGAGATCAAAGGCTGCACCAGGATACCGCTCTGCTCAGCAGCCTTCGGGCTGGCTCGTGCCTAAGCTGTCAGCGGTGACCTCTGGCACTGTTGGGCTCTTGTGACCAAGGTCACAAGATGACGATAGAAGAAGGAGGCCAGCAAGGATCCTGGACAGGAATGCAGCAAACACTACTCTGGCTTAGAGTACTAGGCTGGTAGGAAATTTAGAACTCACCTAGTCTAATGATTTCCAAGAGTTTCTTCAGTTGGATTTCATTTTGCTGCTGGACAACCCTTTCTTCAAACAAGATCTGATAATGAAGTCAAATACATAAAACAGAATTAAAACTGAGCTGTTCAAAATGAAACAAAGGTGGAGATTCCTAGCCCTATCCTCGTTCTGCCTACAGCACAGCACCTCCAAAACACACACCACTGATCACTTTAAAATAGGGAAACTAGCTGGGCGTAGTGGCGCTTGCCTGTAATCCCAGCCCTCGGGAAGCTGAGGCAGGAGGATCGTCGCAAGTTCGAGGCCAGCCTGGGCTACAAGACCAGCCTGAACTGCATGGCGAGACCCTGCCTCAAAAAGACAAAAAAATAAATAAATAAAATAGGGAAAGTGAAGCCCGAAGCACATGCATGGCTTATGTTAGCACACACAGTACAAGAGTGAGAAAGTCAGCAGAACTCAGGAGACGTCACCGTGTCCCCTCCAGCCTGCCACTTTCCTAGCCTCTGTTTGCTCCTTTCTACATTTAAGTATTATGTGTAACGTACATCCTTCACTCAGCAACTCCAGGCCCACCAAAAATAGAATGTAATTAAAAGACTCAGTTGTAGCACTGCTCATTTGAGAGATGCAAATTAAAACAACACTGAGATTCCATCTCACCCCAGAAAGAATGGCTGACATCAAGAAATCAATCAATAGCAAATGTGTGAGGGGCTGTGAGGAAAAAGGAACCCTTCTCCACTGTTGGTGGAAGTGTAGACTGCTGCAATCACTGTGGAAATCAGTGTGGAGAGTCCTCAAAAAACTAGGATTGGAGGTCTCATTTGACCCAGCTATTCCCCTCCTGGATGTCTTCCCAGAAGAATTAAAAACATCAGCACCACAGTGATATATGTGCAGCCGTGTCTGTGGCAGCACAATTTGTCATACCTTGGAAACAACCCAAATGTCCATCAACTGAGGAATGGATAAAAAAGATGTGGTATTTTTATACAATGGAGTATTACTCAGCTATAAAGAAGGATAAACTCTAGACTTTTATAGGTAAATGGATGCAACCTGAGACTACACTCATAAGTGAAATAAATTAGACTCATGCATGTAAA